CTCTAATCCACAGGTTTCCTGAGGACTTTATCATTCGCGGACGAATCAATAATGATAATTACTATATTTTTCATATACTCTAGTAGAAGTCATGCTTATACGGTTAAAAGTTTGAGAGGTTATGCTGCTCTCAGATACTGTTCACTAATGGTATGACGTCAGAACGCACTAATATGGACCAAACATGGCGGACAGCGTTTTCGGAAAAAGTCTCTTTAAAATAAAGTCTTACAGTTTTCAAGGCCTGAAGAAATATAGTATAATTTTGTTTGGTCTAATGCAGGCCTCTCCAACTCGAGTACTTGGTGCTGGTGCGCTCCGGTGCTGAACCCAGCGGCACCGGTGCCGTTCCCCCTCCACCTCAACCGCACAGCCGTCGCGACAGAGAGACACATAATTAGCCAGCTGTCTCTCGGGCGCGGGCCATTCCTTAATAGGATAAGGCAAAGTGGACAGGTTTTTTAGCGTCTTTACGTGCATCTTTTTTTAAACGATGTCATTCAATCCTGCATGGAAGAAGCCCATTTTTTGTAAATACTGATGGAAAAGCAAAATGTTTGATTTGTCACACGGTGTTGAGGCCAGCCCTTCTAAGTTCTGAAGAGGTAATTATTACTTTGGTCGTACAGGTAGTTGATTATGATTAATGGTGTCGAAATGCAAGTTATATTGTTGCTTTGAAAATCGCAAAAAGTGGGAGACCGTTTACTGACGGTGCGCTTGTCAAAGAATGCTTAGTGGAGTGTGCAGAAATATTGTGCCCATCTCCTGTAAGCAACTTTGAGACAATTAGTATGTCCGAGCAAACAATTTCTCATCGTATACTTGAACTTGGTGCAGATTTGAAAGAACTGCGGGAAAATGTGCCCATTTTGTGCAGTATTCTATAGCTCCCGATGAAAGTAAAGACATTTCTGACACAGCATAATTAGCTGTTTTCATTAGAGGTGTCGAAATAGTCTTTACTATCACCGACGAACTACTAGACGTTATCCCGGTCAAAGATACAATGGCCGGAGAAGATATTTTTGATGCTGTAGAATGACATGGGTATACTACTCAAAAGTTCGCGTAGTGTTGTTACTGATGGAGCGCCAGCAATGTTATCGGAAGCACAAGGTTTTATTGGGCGAATGAAAATAAAAGTACGCGACACTGGGCTATCTCCTATATCATCGGCAGATTGCATATTACATTATGAACAACTATATGCAAAAACCTTACGTAATTTCAAATCTATTATGCATGTAGTAATTACATGTGACAATTTCTGCAGAATGCAAGGTCTCAACCACGGCAGTTTGAAGTATTTTTCAAAGACCTGGTTACGGTGACATACCCTTTTATTGTGTTACGCGCTGGTTCAGCTGCGAAAAAGTGCTAAAGATTTTTTTTTAAATCATTGACGACGTTGAGATGTTTATGCAAATGAGATTTTTACGCCGCCATCATCAGTGCTTTTCGAAACAGAACCGCCGCAGTTCCAAATGGAGCTGATTAAGCTTCAATGCGATTCGATCCTTAAGGATAGATACTACCACTACAATAGTAATTTAATTTCGTTTTATCAAGGTGTAAGCAGCAAGATTTTCCCAAAATTCTTGCACTGGCATTGGAAACTTGCTCCATGTTCGGTAGAACGTACTTCTGCGAGGAGATGTTTTCTTTAATGAATTTGAACAAAACTAAAAACAGGTCTTTGTCTGATGTGTCCTTAGAGGCGATACTCACAATTTCCACTGCTCAAGCCACTGTACCAAATATTAGAAAACTTGTCGAATCGAAACGCTGTCAAAGATCATCTTAAGAATAAATGTGTTTACGTCGAAGTTATGAACATTATTTTATCACCCGCGCGTTTACTCGATCAGACCAATTCAAATGTCAATGCGAATGTCACTCCACTCTTTTTCCGTTGGGGCTGGGAGCCGGCAAAATTAAACCTTATCGCGGATTCGACTAAACTTAGTAATAATATGTTTTTAAGTAAATGAACAAAAAGGGCTTGGTATGCCGATGAAAGTACCTGTCATATCGATTTGAAGATACAACCTGACGGTAGGATTTTACCATAACCTATACGTATATCAACGGTCATGACGTTTCATATTCATTTTAGATATACTTTCAAACATCTAGTAGCCTGGTTTCAAACTGACAGACTCAAATGAGCTTTTAAATGCAAGCATGAAGCATACAAACAGGATGTATTATTTTCATCTATTTGCATTGCTTGCTATAACTTTCAGTCGATACGACAGAAACTTCTGACGGAAATCAGTTTGTCATACCATGTTTTTGCAAATGAGCCTAAAATTTCCATCAAACGTTCTGGCTTCATTGAATTCGTTGATGACGGTGAAATTCTCTTCACGTCACGCTGTATCTTTAAGTCGGTATGACAGGTACTTCTGAGCTCTTCTTGTTCATTTACTTAAAAACTACATACTATTACCAAATTTAATCGAATCCGCGATGAAGGTATCCTCAATGCCACCAGCTCCCGGGTCATTTCTATTCGCAGGGTGCTACGGTTATCACAACACCTTCCTCGCGATGCGTATGCCGCTGCTCGATCCCTCCACCACCTTCACGGAGTCACCCCGCAGCACTGTGCTGCGAGCGGTGCTCGGCGCTGCACTGGTAGCACCTGAGTTGGAGAGGCCTGGTCTAATGGAACAAATATCAGCTATTTAAGACCTACATAAAAAGTGACAACTAGCCTATTGATACTTATTAAAAAAATTGGTAAACGTTAATGAAGTCAGAAAATATTTTAGAGGGTCAAAATACATCCAAAAGAACGTACGGTCGTTTTGCCTAGAATTCAACGCACACTTTATTTCCGCCATTACTTTTTATGAATCTAAAGTACATCTTTTTTCAAACGAGTAATATAAAATAGGTACTAACCGCAAAGTCACTGACATCCGCAGCAAGTTCCATATATGCAATTCTGAATTCTGGTACTAGAAAAGAGCACTGTTGTAGTTCTTTCGATAAGTAAAATGCTGCTAAAATAGGGTCGTGTGTAGAATAGCAGATGTAAGCAGGATTTGACACTGCCCGATACAGGTTCAATTTCAAACTTTCAGCATGTAGGAGATCGTCGTGTTCTAACCTCACTCTGCAATCTGCACATCTATTGAATAGGAAAAACCATATAACTCACCCAAAATACTTGTTGTCGATTTGTATTTAATCTCAAGAAGTATGATCATGTTTCCTTAAAGAGATTTCAGCTTGGTTGGATGTGTATAGAAAATGCTTGCAAGTACCATATAGCAGTGTTTACACATAAGATCATATCTTCTAGATCCTCCTTGTATCTTTATGAGAAATTTGTTTTCAGACGAAATAATTCAGACATTGATTTCAGACACAAAAAAAGACTAGAGATCCCTATGTATAAAACAACTTTATTTCGTAGTTCATACACTTACAATGCTATCCTGATTTATAACGAATTAGATGACAATATAAAGGATTGGCCAGTAAACAGATTTCGTAAGCATGTGAAACAGATTTATTTGTCATTGTCGTAATTGTGGAAAAGTTAGTTTTTAATTCTTACATTTAATTTTATTTTACGTAATATATGTGTGTATATATGTATGCTAGGAAGCTATCAAGCTCGTTGTTTTGAAGCGTCTTTTGCTTGTCAAAGTTTCCTTTGATTGAGTGTTTCAATTTAGTATTTGGGTAGGTTAAATAGAGTAGCCAAGAGCTAGACTTCGCCTACGTAACATAGAGGTCACATTATGTTGTAGTGTATATAATGTGCCTAATAAAGATATTTTATTATTATTATTATTATTTATTTCTGTTGGTTTGTCTATCTGTAGTTTGTCCGTGTATCACTGCCCTCTCGTATTATGGTTCCTCTCCACAATCGGCGGTTACAAATGATTATGCGCAAGCCCGATCGTGTAGAGCATTGATTCCCAAAGTGGTCTATATCGACCCCTAGGGGTCTATGACAACCTGCAAGGGGTCTACGTCAGCGACAAAAAAATTGGGGGACCATGAAATGAATATGGGGGTCCACGATAGTGGATCTCAACACATACACTGATACTACCTATTTACTTACATCATACTATCTTATAATATCAAAACATATACATTATTTATAAAAGTGCCTATAAAGTAAAAAATTTATTATATATGTTTATAAAATTGTGTAAGTTGTAGGATGTTGGTATTCGCTTTGTGGTCGCAATACATTTTGAACTTGTAAAAACCTGAGAGTCGCAGTCTCAGAGCTTCGCTACCTTGCACTGACTTGTTCAATTCGTCACTTTATAAATACGAATGTGGGAAAAATACGTTAATTCGTTTCCTGAATCTTGAAAAGGAAAGTGCTAAGAAAATCTTTTAAAAAATATAAACAGATAGTATATCACACAAATTATAGTGAGTCAGTGTTATTTTGTTTGAGAGTGCTGGAGAAAAGTAAGTACATTATTTTCTATTAAATTTTAGTTTTGTACTCGTAGTTAGCAAAGATAGATAAATTGCGCCAATCATGACTTTAGTTATTAGTAGTTAAATATTCAATCATGCAAAATTACACGAGTACTCCTCAATAGTTTCTTTTTGAAAGCTTTAGCAATCGGTAATATAATTACAGTGCAATCTCCGTAATTCGAGCTAATTGTTGCAAGAAGATGTTCGAATTATGTAACGTTTTCGGAAAAATCTAAAAATATTTTTAATATACAGCTGCTGGATTTTCTGTCTTATTTAAATAATTTAATTTTGCCCACAGATGACTGATGCCATGTCCGAATCTAAAAAGAAATGTAAACAGTACAGTGTTGATTATTTGAAATTTGGCTTCATTCCATCATTGCCGGACAAACAATCGCCTATGTGCTTTTTATGCAACAAAGTTTTGGGCAATGACGCTATGAAACCATCTAAACTGCTAGATCATCTGAGAAGATGCCACCTTGATAAAACAGAGAAAGATTTGAAATACTTTCAAACACTCACAGATAAATTTCAGAAGAGACCTACACTGGACAGAATGTTCGCTTCGACGTCACAAAGAAATGATGATCGTTTGCGGGCGTCTTACAATATCTCGTTACTTATAGCAAAATCCGGAAAACCGCATACTATCGGAGAGAAGTTAATTTTGCCAGCCGTTGAAGATGTTTTAAAAACTGTTTTACACAAACCTGCATCTGATATCATTAAACGAATTCCCTTAAGCAACAATACTGTTGAAAGACGTATTGATGAAATGAGTTCTGATATTGAAAGCTTCTTATGTAATTATTTGCAAACGACCCATTTCTCTGTACAACTGAACGAGTCAACTTTACCTGATAATGCAGCATTATTATTGGCATATGTTCGTTTTATTATGAATCAAGAAATCTACGAAGAACTGCTCTTCGCAAGAACTTTGATAGCCGACACCAAAGATGAATCAATATTTCATGTCTTGAAGGATTACTTCATTGAAAAAGCTATTCCTTTATCAAATATAATATCATCTACAGATGGAGCACCTGCCATGGTTGGATGTTATCGTGGATTTATAAGCGATTTAAAACAAAATGTGTCAGGGGTGTTAGCAATACATTGCGTCATCCATCGACAACATTTAGTTGCTAAAAATTTGAGCGTTAGATTGCATGAATCACTTCATTTAGTCATTGATGCAGTAAACCGAATCCGAAGCAACGCGTTGAATACGCGGTTATTTGCGCAGTTGTGTGAAGAAAATGACGAACACTTTCATCAATTACTCCTTTACACTGAAGTACGCTGGCTGTCAAAAGGCTTATGTTTGACTAGATTTTTTGCACTTTTTGAGACTATTTTAGAATTTCTGGATACTAAAGATAACATTTTAAAAGAAAATTTAATAAAGAGGAAAACAGACATCACCCATTTAACAGATTTGTTTACAAAATTTAATATGGTTAATTTGCAATTACAAGGCGACAGTTTAAATTTGATTAAAACAAAGTCCATCTTATCAGCGTTTCTTGTCAGAGTTAAACTAATGAAGCAAAATATTGGACGCGGCGAATTTTCTCAGTTCCCCAATTTGTCCCAGACAAGCTGCCAGGAAGACGACGTTTCAACTTACGTTCAACATTTAAATGCCCTCTATTCAGATTTTGAATCTAGGTTTGAGGATATTTTGACTATGGTAATACCACCGTGGATAATTAATCCATATTGTGACATAGAAGAAACGAATGTCATAATACAAGAGGAACTGACCGAACTAAGTACAAACGAAGAACTTAAGGTTCAGTTTAAAAACGGATATCAGCAATACTGGATGCAAAACAACATACCCGTTACTTATCTCGTATTATGGACTATAGCGAGGAAATTTTCAATTTCCTTTCCAACGTCATACCTAGTGGAAAGGGGGTTCAGCGCTGCTACCAATCTCCTAACGAAAAAAAGAAATAGACTGGATATCATTAGCCGAGGAGATTTAAGATTAACCCTTACAAAATTGACGCCAAATGTTGATAATTTATTATTAAAGCATCAGGTTCATCCTTCTCACTAAAAATATTGACTTATTGCTTATGTTATTTTATTTATAGTTTATTTTATGTTTATTGGTGTCTGACCAATAAATGTCCGCAATGGGAATAAGTGCCCGCATTGATTTTTTTAAAGAACCCTTTATAGAAAATATTTTTTTTAAAAATTATTCTGAAAATTCTAGGATAGGTGCACACTAAAATTCGTTAATTTTTTGCCTATTTTTAGATAACTTAGACGTATAAGAAGCGGAATTTAATCAAACTAACAGTGAAATTATTTTAGAACATACGTTTATGTTATAATTAATAAACGAACTCGCTTATTGTACTATTTTAAGTAAAAAACTTTTTTTTATTATTTTTCACTTTTTTTTTATTTTATCCCTCTTATTTTTTGTTTCAATGCGGGCACTTATTCCCAATGCGGGCACTTATTGGTCAGACACCTGTTTATTTAATGTTACGTATATTTTACATAACAGATACAAACAGATACAAACTTTTATTTTGGGTAGTTTTAATTTAAATTCAATTAATAAATTAATGTATAAATTAACATGTGTTTTTACTTTAAGTTTTTAACACTAAACTTCACTACAGTTAGAAATTTATAGGAAATCAATATCAGGTAAGTAGGAGGTCTACCCAACACGGAAAAACATGGCAAGGGGTCTACGACACAAAAAAGTTTGGGGAACTCTGGTGTAGCGGGCATACTCGGCTGTACTCTCCGATCATCGCCCATGATCGCCTTCGACCCGTGAATTTTCGGTTTTTCGGACACGCATCAAAGAGAATCGCCGCGTCATATTGATGCTTGCCGTTTGACAAACTATTACTGACGTTCGTGTGTATGCTTGCACGATGATCGTGCCTATTATGAATGATCACACGATCAACGATCATCGGCGATAGTGAAGTGCAGGCATTATAACTTTGAAAGTACTGCTCGGACACAGTATATTTGCATAAGATCACTGTCATGCCAAGGACGAAAGAGCTTTGTTGGTTTTGACAAAGGGTTCAGTGGCGTCAAGTAGGTTGACCCTTCACTTTCCACGGAATGCTTTGATCATTTCATTAAGGATTTAGGAAGTTAGTTTATTTGAGGTAGCTATAAACATGTATAATAAGAAAATCAAATGGGTTAAGTTAGCCAAGCAAGCCCATATACAGGGTGTAAACGTTATGGTAGTCATTATTGAAATGGGTAATAGGGGGGTAAAAGCAAGTCAAAAAGTTCATATGACCTATGGTCCAAAAGTCAATAGATTTTGTCTAAATGGCTTTATAGTTTACAGCTTTAAGTGATTTATATGGACCACAATCTTACTAATTTTTATAAGCTAATCTAAAATGTTTTTAAATTGGGTAATTAACGGATAAGTGACATTAAGTTTTTCTAAGTTACGCCAAAATTTGTAGTCAGTAAGTAATTTTCATTAAATTAAATATTTAAAACACACATGACAACAGCGCGTCGGTCTTTCATCACTCTTATCGAACCGGCAATCGATCGCAAACGGTAACAGTGGTTAGTTATTGTTTGCGTACGTCGTCGTGTTTATTTACAATGTTCTCGGATCAAGACTTCGCCGACATGTTGTTAGTTTACGGTGAAGCTCGTCAGAATTCAAAACTTACAGCTCAAATTTATCGCGACAGATTTCGCCAACATGTACACCCAGACAGAAGAACATTTGTGCAAGTGTACCAAAGACTTTGAGATACAGGCAGTGTTCAGCCCACTAATATTCGCACTCGTGAAAGACAGGTTACTGTAGAGCAGGAGGAACAAATTTTAAATATCGTGGAAATCAATGCAGATATCAGCACTCGGGAATTAGGCCGCCGCGTAGGACTATCGCATACCATAGTCCATAGAATCCTACGGGAAAATTTGCTTTATCACTACCAGGTACAACGAGTGTAGGCCTTGTTACCAGAAGACTATCATCGCAGACTAACCCTTTGTCAGTGGTTTTTGCACAAAAACATTGAAAATCCGGATTTTTTAAAAACATTCTAGCGAGGAACGAATGTACTTTTACGCGAGACGGGATATTAAATTTTCATAATACTCACACGTGGGTCCAAGAAAATCCTCATATCATTCGTGAAGGTCATTTCCAACAACGTTTTAAAACAAAAATTTGGGCTGGTATTCTTGACGATCAGGTAATTGGCCTTTTCGAGTTACTCCGAAAGTTTTCAGGAGAAGGATACCTTAGCTTTCTAGCCAATAACCTAGCAGAACTTTTGGAACAGACTTTAGACCACATGCCATTACAATGGAGACAGAATTTGTGGTTTCTTCACGACGGGGCACCAGCACACATTTTTAGAGGCGTCATTCAGTATTTGAATGAACATTATCGAAATCGCTGGATCGGTCGAAATGCCTGCAAGATCTCCTGACCACAATACTATGGATTTCTGGTATTGGGGAGAACTCAAAGGGATGGTTTATGGGGCTGGTCTAATAACAACTTCGAAGACATAGAGTAAGAAGAAACTGGGTTCGTCGTAATAAACTTGTGTCGAAAGTGGAGAACGACGTTTTGAACACCTTCTTTACATACAAAAAAGTGCTGTTAATGGTAAAAACCTAGAATCTGTTGTAGGACTTGCCAATTTTAACTTGACTGGTGCAGGTAAGTGGTTCAGCAATAATGGGCTCGTCTTAAATAATCAGAAATCTGTTTTCCTTAGATTTAACCTTTCCACCTCACCGACGGATCATACTTTACTAATAAAATCGTTTATCAAATCAATAAAACAAGTGGATGCGACTAAATTTTTAGGGATATATATATATATATATATATATATTTATATATATACAGGGTGTCCCAGAAGTCGACGTCAAGCCGAAACCGGGTGATAGGCAAAGTCATAACAGCTATCAGAAAAATATTTAAAAAAAAATTATGTATGTGTTTTGAAAATTATAGGTCTTCGAAAAAGATATAGAAATTTCACACCCTACGGCAGTCTGTCAACTCCTGTTACTACAAATATTAACTTTTTTTCGATTTTATTTTTGTATGTAATGATGAAGAATGCATCTTCAAACTGGTGTCTCAACCTTACTGCCAAGTTTTCTCGTTCAGGAAAAATTGCCACTTATTTCCCAACCAAGTATTCCAAAGTAAAACTTTGCTCAACTTTAACTGGCTGTACTGGAAAAAAATGTACTACGAGAGTTTGGCAAGTAACCTTAAAAGTCGGCGCATTTAATAACGATTCCAAAATGGTATAACACTTAGAAGATTACTCGTTAACTTTTGCACAATTTTTATTTGAAAAAACTGATGAAGATTTTTCAAAATTTCCTAATTAAACAGCGATTATGAAAACGCACAAGGACCCTTAAGGATAACTGTTTGCACAACAGTGGGCGTCAAAATGCTGCTGATAAGTGATGTGCTTCATCCATACCACATACAGCGTGTTCAACCTCTCCTGCCCCGGGATTATGAGCCCCGAGTTGCTTGTTGTCGCACAATGTTAGAAAGACACAGGGAAGATCCACGGTTCTTTGAAAAAAATTTATGGTCAGATGAGACCACATTTAAGAAAGATGGGTACATGAACCTGCATAACTTACACGAGTGGCACGTAGCAAACCCACATTTGATGAGAGAAGATAAATCTCAATATCGCTTCAAGATAAACCATTGGACATGAATTTTAAATGGTAAAATAATCGGTCCGTTTGAGTTCCCAGAGACTTTGACTGCTGAGGTCTATTTAGGTTTTTTGCAAAATCATTTAGAAAATTTATTGGAGGACGAACCACTGAGTATTTACAGGGACATGTGGTTTCAGCATGATGACTGCCCAGCGTGGTCTGGTACAATACCGTGGCCAGCCCGGTCACCAGATTTGAATCCGTTAGATTTTTTTTACTGGGGAACTGTAAAAGAAAAAGTGTATTTCAAGCCGATTCAAAATGTAGCTGAGCTACGGCAAAGACTATTGGAAGCAGCTGAGTTTGTTA